CGGGACACATTCGTTTTTTCTTCGCGCGCGCACGCCGAAATCTCCAAAAACCATTGGGCTTCTTAAGAATTTTAGCACCGCGCATCATAAAATCACACGAATCGCACCGTAGGTCCTCGAAAAACACCTGCACGACTTTTCAAAATTTCTACCCGCGCGCGCTGTCCTAACAACTTCTGTGGGTGTGTACTCCACGCCAGTGTAGTAGCCACGGTCGTCCGCAGGCCACGAAGTGAAGTGTCCGAACGTCATAGGGCGGGAAGCTGGGTGTGGGTGGTGGCGAAGAGTCGTGTGGATATTTGGTAGAGCTTGCACTGCCCCCCCACAAAGTGGGGGTATTGGCTGGCGTCGCATGAAAACCCTGGCACTGGTGAGAACACTGAGCGTTCGGGTAAAGTGATTGTTGTTGTTGTTGTTGTTGAAATTTCATTTCTGAAGAATGAGTATGGTTGTTGTTGCTGTTGTTGCTGTTGTTGTTGTTGTTGTTGTTGTTGTTGTTGTTGTTGTTGTTGGAATGTCATTTCTGAAGAATGAGTATGGTTGATCCCCCCGCCGGTGCATACTGTTTTTCTCAATCAAAGTGTGCCTCTCGACGCTCGCACCCGGTTTTTTATCGGGGAAAGTCTTGAGGCTCAAACTGGCCCCCTGGCCCCCAGGTTACAACAACAACGGCTCCCGCCTAAGACTTCCTCACGATTTAGCCAGGACCCCCGCTCCCGCCCGAGACTTTCTCGCATTTTATTCGGGAATCGCGCTCTCGCTTGGGACTTCCTTACAATTGATTCAGGAATCGCTCTCCCGGCGCTCTGGGGTCGCGCTCTCGCTGGAGACTTGCTTGCAATTTCCTGAAGAAACGAGCCCTTGCGATGGAATTTCTTGCAATTTACTCAAGCGCCGCGCCTCCGACACCCAGGCACCCAGGAGTCGCGCTCACGCGTAGGACTCCCTCACAGATTACCCAGGAATCGGGATCTCGCCGCCCTTCGTGGCCCCGTCGCTGCCCTTCGTGGCCTCCTCGCTGCCCTTCGTGGCCCCATCGCTGCCCTTCGTGGCCCCCTCGCTGCCCTCCGTGGCCCCATATATACCCTTCGTGGCCCCCGCTCGTTCGCGCCCGTGGTGGCCCCATATGCACGCCCTTCGTGGCCCCGCTGTCGCCCTTCGTGGCCCCCTCGCTGCCCTTCGTGGCCCTGTTGCTGCCCTCAGTGGCCCCGTCCTTGCCTTCCGCGGCCCAGTATACGTATGCCCTTCGTGGCCCCCGCTCGTTCGCGCCCGTTGTGGCCCCATGTGCATGCCCTTCGTGGCCCCGCTGTCGCCGTTTGTGGCCCCCTCACTGTCCTACGTGGCCCAGTTGCTACCCTCAGGGGCCCCATTGTTGCCTTCTGTGGCCCCGCATGATCTGCCCTCCGTGACCCCCGCTCATTCGCGCTTTTCGTGGCCCAATACGCATTCCCTTCGTGTCCCCGCTGTCGCCCTTCGTGGCCTACTTCGTGTCCTTGTGGCCCTGCTGTCGTTCTCTCTCGCTCTCGCTTGCGCTCGTCGTCGTCCTCGCCGTCGTCGTCGTCGTCGCCGTCATCGTCGACGTCGTCGTCGTCGTCGTCGTCGTGGTCGGTCCCCTGTCCGTCCCTCTTGGGGTCTGGTCGACGGTCCGCGGCAGCTTCGCCGATCAGCGCTGCCGCTGGCCAGGCCGACGGTCCGCGGCCGCCTCGCCGCTTGTCGAGGCCCGGCCTGCAGGGAAGAAAGGTATACCCCCCAAAAGGGGTTCGATCGAAGACGAAGAGGGCGGGTATCGAGGGTTGGGGAAATACGCGTTGTTGGACACTCGAGCAGATAAGGGCGAACAGTCTTAAAATGATGGTTGTTGTTGTTGTTGTTGTTGTTGTTGTTGTTGTTGTTGTTGTTGTTGTTGTTGTTGTTGTTGTTGTTGTTGTTGTTGTTGTTGTTGTTGTTGTTGTTGTTGTTGTTGTTGTTGTTGTTGTTGTTGTTGTTGTTGTTGTTGTTGTTGTTGTTGTTGTTGAACATTATTACTTCTAAAGAATAATTATTGTTGGGGCCCCTGGTGCACGACCCCCCCGCCGCGCCTAGGCCGCAGCCTCATTTTCATCATTTTCGTGAGGAAGTCTCAGGCAAAACGGGTGTCCGGATCCGGTTGTGTTGTTACGATCGGTTTTCCCTTGCAAAAAATACTAAAAGTGGACATTTCTTGTTCTAACATAACCAAACTTCAAGAATCCCTTGCAAAAAATAAGGTAAAGTGGACATTCGCGCGCGCAAGACGAAATCCTTCCAAAACCTTAGTTTTCGTAGCGATTTTAACATAAAAACATCAAAAACCAATGGTTTTTCAAAAAAAATTGTCAAAATTTCATCCCGCGCGCTCTTGCGGATTCGTAGGAAACCCAACACTTTTTAATCATTTCTGTCAAACGGGCTTTTGCGAGCAACTTTTTCGAACTTCTGCAACAACGGTTGCGCACCTGCCAGGGCCATCATCCCTGTCAAATAATACCATGCGGGACACATTCGTTTTTTCTTCGCGCGCGCACGCCGTCGTCGTCGGCCGCGGGGCCCTGAATAGTAGCCACGGTCGTCCGCATGCCACGAAGTGAAGTGTCCGAACGTCATAGGGCGGGAAGCTGGGTGTGGGTGGTGGCGAAGAGTCGTTTGGAAATTTGGTAGAGCTTGAACCGGCCCCCCCACAAAGTGGGGGTATTGCCCGCCTCCTATGAAAACCCTGGCACTGGTGAGAACGGAGTGTCCCCACGTGCTAGTAATTGTTGTTGTTGTTGTTGAACATTATTACTTCTAAAGAATAATTATTGTTGGGACCCCTGGTGCGCGACCCCCCTCCAAAACCTAGGCCGCAGCTACATTTTCATCATTTTTTAGCGAAAGCTTCAGAAAAGTGAATTATTACCGGATCCGGTTGTTTTGTTGTACTCCGTTTTCCCTTGCAAAAAACACTATAAAATGAAAATTCTTGTTCTTACTTGATCAAATTGCAAGAATCCCTTGCAAAAAATAAGGTAAAGTGGACATTCGTGCGCGCAAGACGAAATCCTTCCAAAACCTTAGGTTTCGTAGCGATTTTAACATAAAAACATCAAAAACCCAATGGTTTTTTAAGAAAAAAATGTCAAAATGTTCTTCCGCGCGCTCTTGCGGATTCGTAGGAAAACCAACACTTTTTAAACAATTCTGTCAAACGGGCTTTTGCGAGCAACTTTTTCGAACTTCTGCGACAACGTTTGCGCACCTGCCAGGGCCATCATCCCTGTCAAATAATACCATGCGGGACATATTCGTTTTTTCTTCGCGCGCGCACGCCGAAATCTCCAAAAACCATTGGGTTCTTAAGAATTTTAGCACCGCGCATCATAAAATCACACGAATCGCACCGTAGGTCCTCGAAAAACACCTGCACGACTTTTCAAAATTTCTACCCGCGCGCGCTGTCCGAATCCTAAAAAAACCAATGGTTTTCCAACATTTATGTTACATGAGCTCGCGCGAGCTACTTTCGCACGCTCTTGCAACGGGGTTCGCGCGCCTGCCAGGGGCCACAATCCCTTGCGGTTGCGCCATAGGTTGCGCCCTCGGCCGCCGAGAATAAAACGTCCCCCTATTGGTTGCGCCATAGGTTGCGCCCTCGGCCGCCGAGAATAAAACGTCCCCCTACTGGTTGCGCCATAGGTTGCCCCAGGAGGCCTTCAAGAGGCCCCAAGAGCCTGCTCCTCCTCCTCCTCCTCCTCCGGCGGGGGGCGTGAGGATCCGGCATCGCTCACAACCATCGGGACAACCATCGGGACAACCATCGGAACAACCATCGGGACAACCATCGGGACAATCATCGGGACAGTCATCGGGACAACGATCGGGACAAGCACAACCATCAGGACAACCATCGGGACAATCATCGGGACAACGATCGGGACAACCACAACCATCAGGACAACCATCGGGACAACCATCGAGACAACCATCGGGACAACCATATCCTCTCTCTCTTGTGTATTCCCACATCCCTCAGGAATTTGCCCTAAAGATGTGATCAACTATCTTGTGAGTACGTATCATGTGTATCATGTGTATCATGTACCATATGCATCATATGCAACAGATGTTCTGTGGAAGGCTTAACAACTTCTGTGGGTTAACAAGGCTTAACAACTTCTGTGGGTGTACGAACGTAGGCTTAACAACTTCTGTGGGTGTGTACTCCACGCCAGTGTAGTAGCCACGGTCGTCCGCAGGCCACGAAGTGAAGTGTCCGAACGTCATAGGGCGGGAAGCTGGGTGTGGGTGGTGGCGAAGAGTCGTGTGGATATTTGGTAGAGCTTGCACTGCCCCCCCACAAAGTGGGGGTATTGGCTGGCGTCGCATGAAAACCCTGGCACTGGTGAGAACACTGAGCGTTCGGGTAAAGTGATTGTTGTTGTTGTTGTTGTTGTTGTTGTTGTTGTTGTTGTTGTTGTTGTCGTTGTCGTTGTCGTTGTCGTTGTTGTTGTTGTTGTTGTTGTTGTTGTTGTTGTTGTTGTTGTTGTGAAAACAACGCAACGGCGTTGTTATTCGTATTTTCTTTCACTGCAAGAGCGCCACATGTGCTCACAGAAGGTCCGGCCAATGCAAAAGGAGGAGGAGGAGGAGGAAGAGGAAGAAGAGGAGGAGGAGGAGGAGAACGAGGAGGCAAGCCACGTGCGCTCGCGCCTCCTCTCACATCCTTCCCCTCCCTGCCGTGCCTTCCCATTGCGCTGATGTTGTCTTATCCGCGGACGCGTGTAATAGCCGACCCGAAAAGACCACACAGTAATATGCGCAATCGGGAAAGGGGAACTGCGTGCACAGGAGGAGGATCAGATGGCGGGTGAGCAGGAGGATGCGCGGGGAGGAATAGGACGAGGACGAACAGCAGCAGCAGGAAAGATAAGGGGGAGGAGGGGAGCAGCAGCAACAGCAGCAGCAAAAGGAGGGTATGGGCAGGGGCCGCTCACACCACCGCCCAGGGCGTGGACCCGGTCAAGGCGGCCAAGATCCGGGGCAGGTCGGCCTCGGTGAAGAGGTCGTCCAGCCTCCTGGGGAAGAGGACCCGAGCGGCGCCGCGGCGCCTCAGCCGAAGGAGGGAGAGGGGAGGGGTGCACCTGAAAGTTGGAGTCGGCTGGGGGTCTGAGGTGGCCCAGGGCGAGCGAGGTGCGAGGTTCCGGCTTCGAGAAGGCTGTCTTTTTGGTTGTCCGTCTCCGGAGGCGATTTCAGTGCCCTGGAAAGTCAACAGACGGATCCAGGGTGAAAAACTGCACCAGAAGGGCCCCGGGGTGTGCTGGGACCGACGTTGAGCAGATTGATGACCCTATCCCCTCACTTGACCGATTTTCTCGGGGCCTATCCAGCTCAGAACCCCGAAAGATCGAAAACCAAACCACGATGTACAGTCGGACCGAGCAACGAGATCGAGGTCGGTTCGGGGAGGGTGCCCTCGTGTTCTTCGTGCTTGCTGGATGTTCCTGTGCATCCTGGGGAGGGCACCCTCGGATGTTCTGTGTGTTGTGGCCGGCGCTGGGTCTCATGCTTCTGAGGGGGGTTCTGCTGCCCCAGGTCCCATTGCAAGCAGCAGCTTTCGGAGGTCCGCGCGGATCGCGCTCGGGTCGGCGCGGGGCCTTCCCCCGGGCGGCGCCTCGGGGGTGCCGCCCCCGTCAGCCACGCGCAGAAGGGGCGTGGGGGGAGGGGGGAGGGCTTCTTGGAAGCACCCCTGCTTCTTGGAAGGCGCGGGCCTTATCTGTAGATGTAGGGCCGGCGCCTTCTAAGAAGCAGCCTCCTTCTAAGGAGCCCTCCCCCCTCCCTCCGCCCCCTTTGTGCGCACCGCCAACCCCTTGCGCGCTCCACGCGCAGGAGACGATCCAATTCGAGCAAGCTGGTCGCAGGCAGGCCCCACCGAAGGTCACAGTGCTACCGTCCACATGCGTCCCCCCCACTCAGTACAGCGTTTCGTGGCCACATAGGGAGCTCCACCGAAGGCCCCAGTGGGACCGTCCGAGTGCGTCCTGAAACACCCAAATTTGCATTTTCACCCACTCATTACAGCGTTTCGTGGCCCCTTAGTGAGCTCCACCGAAGGCCCCAGTGCCACCGTCCGCATGCGTCCCGCACACCCAATGTGGCATTTTCACCCACCCAGTGCAGCGTTTCGCGGCCCCACAGGGAGCTCCACCGAAGGCCCCAGTGGGACGGTCCGCAAGCGTCCCGAAACACCCATTGTGGCATTTTCACCCACCCAGTCCAGAATTTCGTGGCCCCGTAGGGAACCCCACCGAAGGCCCCAGTGCCACCGTCCGCATGCGTCCCGAACGCCCAACGTGGCATTTTTATCCACCCAATACAGCGTTTCGTGGACCCTTAGTGAGCTCCACCGAAGCCCCCAGTGTGACCGTCCGCATGCGTCCCGGAAGCCCAATTTGGCATTTTCACCCACCCAGTACAGCGTTTCTTGGCCCCATAGGGAGCTCCACCGAAGCCCCCAGTGGGACCGTCCGCATGCGTCCCGGAAACATTACTTGACACACCACTCACCCAGAACAGCGTTCCCCCCCACCCAGTGCAGCGCTTCGTGGCCCCATAGGGAGTTTCACCGAAGAAGATTTTCACAATTGCGGTACCCACAACTGCATATGGTTGGGTCCTTCGCCAGGATAATTTTATATGTGTTTTGGACACTCGGTTTTGACGTCCTTGCGAAACCGAAGGTTTTTGAATGATTTCGGCATGCGTGCGACGACACGCGCGTGTGCGTTCGTTTCATGTTTTGCAACATATTTTTGAAAGCTGATGGATTTTGATGAACGGATGCACGCGCATAGTGTTTGTTGCAGAGGATGGCGGGGGGGGGCGGATACCAACACCCCCATGGATGGTGTAAATTCATATTTCGGATGGGCGATGGGGCAGCATCGCGTGTAAATTGCAATACGAAAAAGGGGTTCGATAATCTGGGGGGGAAATCTACGTTGCGCAATCTAGGCGGCGACGGGGCGGCGATGAAGCGGCGACGCCGACCACGGAACCGCCAGACGGACATCCAGGCTCAGACGACGGCCGGCGACGGGGCGGCGATTGCGACCACGGAGCTGCCAGACCGTCAACCAGGCCCACACGACGGGCGGCGGCGAGGAAACGGCGATTGGGTGGCGACGGCGATCACGACGCCGCCAGTCCGACAGCCAGGCTCACTTCCCCATTTCATTTCCCCTTTTCTCAAGTAAGAACCCCTAAATGCAAGCCATGTTCGATGACAGAAAGAGTAACACTAATGATCCAAAGTATCATTCGACAGCTAACAATAATACTAATAATAGCAGTGCGAGTTAAACGAAGAGGCTGCATAAACGTAAGCTTTGCGAACTCCGCGCGGATTTCTTGGAACGACGCGTTGATCGCGCTTGGGTCGACGCCGCAAACGCGGCCAGGGGGGCCGAGCGCCGATCCAAAAAGTCCGCGCGCACCTTCGGAAGTTGGTGTTTATGAAGTTTTTGAGTTTCCTCAGTTGATGCGGCCTCCATGGTCCAAGCCGCTGGTGGCCATGATTGTGTGGATGGCCCCGCGCCGCTCGCTTTCTCCCTGTTCCAGGAAGACTCGGACGAGGACGACCCGACGAGGTAAACCTCACCCCTACAAAACACCCTCGCCCTCGTCCTCGCCCTGGTGGTGGTGGCAGTCGTCGTTGTCGTTGTCGTGGCCGTCGATTCTCCCTTGGATACCCCTGGGCGCATCCGAAAGCACCGTAGAAGCCTACACGGGAGCGTCTGGAGCTCTTTTGACAGTCCCCCGAGGCTGGCGGAGACCTCGGCGGGACGCTGCCGATTCCCTCCGCGGACCTCTTCGGCTGTAGCCGAACGCCTCCAGAAATTGCCACTGTCCTCCAAAAGCTTCGGATTTCTTGTTGGAAAGCCTCCGAGATACCCTGGAAACCTCGCCCTCGCCGCCGCCCTAGTCGACGTCGACGTCGGCGTCGTCGTCGTCGTCCTTACCCTCGCCGTTGCCGTCTCTGTTGTCGTCTCCGTCGCCGTCGCCGTCGCCGTCGCTGTCGCCGTCGCTGACGCCGTCGTCGTCGTCGTCGTCGTCGTCGTCGTCGTCGTCGTCGTCGTCGCCGTCACCTTCGCCGTCGTCGTCGCCGTCGCCGTCGCGTGTCGTCACCCTCCCCTCTCCCGTCTTCCCTTCTTCCCTCGCCCTCGCTTTCGCCGCCGCCCTCGTCGTCGTCGTCGTCGTCGTCGTCGTCGTCGCCGTCGCCGTCGCCGCCGCCGCTGCCGCCGCCGCCGTCGTCGCTGCCGCCGCCCCGGCGCGCGCGCAGGAAGCGCGACGCCACGGCGGGCTCCGAGGGCGCGCCCGAGGGCACCCGGGCCGCCTCGGCCGCCAGGGCCTCCAGCGCGCGGGCGCAGAGCAGGCCCGCTCCCCCTCGGCGCCGCCGCCTCGCCCGCCGCCGCCTCGCCCGCCGCCGCGGCCGCCGGCCGGGGCTCCTCCACGGCGCGCGCAGCTCCTCGGGCGTCGCCGCCGTGTGTTCCTCGGGCGGCGTCGCGGCCGCGGTCGGCGCCGTCGTGGCCCGTCGTGGTCCGTCGTCGGCGGCGGCGGCGGCGGCGGCGGCGGCGTCTGGCGCCAGCGCCAGCGGCACGGCGGTGGTGTTGGTGGTCTTCGGCGTCGTGGTCGTCGCCGCCGTGGAGGATGGGCAGGGGGGCAGGGGCGGGAGACGGGGAGGAGGTGCGGGCTGGGGGCACGGCGACGGGGGCGGGGGGGGGCGGGAAGTGGGAGGAGCAGGCCGATGGAGGAGGACGCAGAGGGGGGGATGGAATTCGAGCCGGCAGTGACCCTCCCCAGTTTTCGAGGGGGAGGGGGTTGGAAACCCCCGGTGGCCCCCCCTGGTTTTCTGCCAGCAGCGGCAGAACACGCTCTTTCCCAGAATTCGACCCTGGCCCTGTCATCCCTCTCTTCCGCCCCCTCGCCCCCCTCCGTCCGCCCCCGCACCCCTCCATCCCTCCCTTCGTCTCTTCCTAATCCTACTCCTTGCTCCTTGCTCCTCCTACTCCTTGCTCCTTCCTTTCCCTTCGTCTCTTGCCTCCTTGCTCCTCCTACTCCTCCCTGCCCTCCGCCCACTCCAGCCTCTGTCCTCCTGCTCCTGCTCCTCCTGCGCCTTGCTCCGCCCCCTCCAGCCTCTGTCCTCCTGCTCCTGCTCCCCCCCCTCTGCCCCCCCCCCCGCTCGACCGCGCACCCCCCTATCGAGCCCGACCTTGCCGGGACGAGCGCGGGCCCGGGGCCATATTGCTGGTGTGCAGCCGGTGCCCCTCCTGCCTTGCGCCCTGCCGTGCTCGCCCTCGCTCTCTCTCTCTCGCTCTCTCTCTCTCTCTCTCTCTCGGGTACTCCAGATTTCAGGAGGAAAAGAAACACACAGACACAATTAATCCTCGATTTCCCAGAAAATATAGGAAAATATGGGAAGTGGGCGGGAAGACAGAAACCCAGAAAATATGGGAAAATATAGGGAATAATTTTATTTGTGTGTATTTATTTGTGTGTCCTGGGGCCCCTTCAAGATTTCGTAATTAATAGGGAGGAGGTCTGGACCCTCCAAGACAAGCCATTCCAGACCTCCCCCGTGGGAGAACCCTCCAAAGCATCGTCCCCAGACCCCCCGGGCACTCCAAGATAGCCTGGAGGAGACCCCGCCACGACAGGAGACCCCCCTCCCTTGATTACGAAATCTGGGGTAGGGTATCGACCACAGAGTTGATTTGCCCCAGGCTTTTTTTGTTTGTCGCCGAGCCTGCGAAGAACGCGTCGAGGGCTCCGTAGGTCTGAGGGGGCAGCCCACGCGGTCGTCGCTGAGTCGACGGACAAATCACTTCTGGGATGACTCCATTCTGTAGTCGACCCCCTGCTCGACTCACTTCCCCACGAGGCGCCGCTCTGCTGCCTCCACGCCCTCTCCCTTCCCCCCTCCCCTCCGCCACCCGAAAGGCTCCGGGGCGTGGCCAACGAGGAGGCCGGCCGCAGCGGACAGGGGCCCACGCTTTCGGGGGGGTGGGCAGGCTCCCAGACTCGCTCGTGCCATGAAGCAGAAACGACGCGAGGCTTGTGCCAACTTTCGGCTTCCGGGGGCCCTCGCTGGGCCCAGGGGCCGCGGACACAACGACTCGGGATGAAAAGCCGGTCGGCCGGAGCGGACAAGGGCAACGTTTGGGAGGGGGATGCAGTGGGGACGCGCGCTCGCAGGTTGCGTTTGTTTCGGAAGGCCTGTGGGAAGAGAAGGGGGCACCTGCCCAGCACCTCACAAGGTGCGGCCTTGCACTGCCCACTGAGCCTGATCAAGGCATCGCTTGAGTCGTGGTTTTGTTATGAGGAGCAGGTGGCATTGATACCGGCTTTCAGTGAGAACAGTACAGTACATCAACAAACCAGATGCTTTTCGTCAGGGCGCCCCAGGTTCCCTCGTTCCGCGCGCTGCGCGGTGACTTCCGCGGCCGTTGCGGATGCTGCTGCGGTCGGGGTGCTCTGGGTTCCAACCCGTGTGCACCTCGCACGCACGGGTCTTCAGGGCTGGATCTCTCGCAGGGGTTTCCCGCGGCTGCGTCCGCACTGCAGTCTCACGGCGTGGGGGGCCTGGCCCGAGGTCCAAGGTTCGAGTAGGGGATCGACTGTGAGGATCAATGATGTCGACGTGAATGGTGAGGTTGTTTTTATTGTTGTTGATGCTGTTGTGGTTGGTGATGATGATGACGATGACGATGATGATGCTGCTGCTGGTGATGATTCTGATGAGAGATATGATGATGCTGCTGCTGATGATGATCATCATCATGATGCTGATTCTGATGCTGACGATGCTGATGATGACGATACTGATGATGATATGATGATGATACTGCTGCTGATGATGCTGATGGTAGTGATGATGATGATGCTGATGATGATGATGATGATGATGATGTTGATGATGATGATGATAGTGCTGCTGCTGATGATGATGATACAAATGATGATGATGCCGCTGATGATGATGATCATCATGATGCTGATTCTGATGCTGACGATGCTGATGATGACGAGAATGAGGATGATATGATGATGATGATGATGATGATGATGATGATGATGATGATGATGATGATGATGATGATGATGATGGTGATGATGATGACCATGATGACGATGATACTGCTGCTGATGATGCTGCTGATGGTAGCGATGATGATGCTGATGCTGATGATGATGATGAGGATGATGATGCTGCTGCTGATGATGATGATGCTGCTGATGATGATGATGATGAGGATGATGATCAGGATCATGATGATGATGATGATGATGATGATGATGATGATGATGATGATGATGATGATGATGATGATGATGATGATGATGATGATGATTATGATGATGCTGATGCTGATGCTGATGCTGATGCTGATGCTGGTGATGCTGATGCTGATGCTGATGTTGATGATGATGCTGTTGATGATGCTGATAGTGGTTGTGGTGGTGATGATGCTGAGGAGGAGAAAGAGGAGGATGTAGAGCAGGAGGAGCACGAGCAGAAGGAGGAGGAGGAGGAGGAGGAGGAGGAGGAGGAGGAGGAGGAGGAGGAGGAGGTTGAAGGAGTTGCTTGGAGGCCGTGCGGCCGACTCGGGCGGGCGAGATCCGAGCGGGCAGACATCGAGAGAGGGGGACGACGACGACGACGACGACGACGACGACGACGACGACGACGACGACGACGACGACGACATGACGACGACGAGGACGAGGACGACGACGAGGACGACGACGATGAGGATGACGACATGACGATGATGTTGATGACGACGCCGATGATGATGATGAGGATGAGGACGACGACGATGACGACGCCGACGACGACGACGACGCCGACGACGACGAAGACGATGACGACATGACGACGACGACGACGCAGCCTCTGATCGGAGTGGGTCCTCGGAGGCACCTGGTGGGCCCAGAGAGGGCCAGAGGCGTTCAGAACAGAGAGGAGGAAGCAGGCTGGCCCTGGATCCTCGGCCCTCGATCGCTGGGCCGCCGCAGCTGCGCCGAGGGACCCCCGGCGGCTCCCCCTCCTTGGGCAGGCCGCGTCCAAGATCGAGAAGCTGCGCAGGAAGCGGATGCGCGTGCACGAGAGACACGGCAAGAAGGGCGAGGCCCGTGGCCGCCGCCGCCGCCCACGGCAGGCTCGCGCCGTGTCGGCAGGCGCCGTCCCCGCCTCCAGCGTCCAACGCTGAACGCCGCTGGCGACCCAGAGCCGGTCGATGTCGAACGATCTGATCGGGGATGGCCTGGGTCAATCCAGAGCGGGGGCAGTCTGTCGGGGTTGGACAGACCTCCTACCCTGACACGTCGATTAAGGAATTGGCCGTTTTCGGTTCGCGAGAGGGCGTCGCGGCCGTCATTTTTGCGGGTCCAGGTCCGTCGGTTTCGGTCCCAGGCCGTTTTCACTAAGGGGAGGTCTACTAAAGGGAGGTTCGTCCACCGCCGAGTTTGGCCCTGCGGGATCCTGCAGGATCCCGCAGGATCCTGCAGGATCCTGCACCCAGGCCCGGGTCAGTGCGCCCCTGCCGCTGCAGGATCCTGCCAGATCCGGCGCCCCGACTGACCCCCGTGCGCATGGGCCCCCGTCTCTGAAGCCCCGCTCCGACGTTTCGGAATCGGTCGATCGTTCCGGGTTGAGCGATCCCCGCGGTGTCGGGAGCCAACTCCGAGGGCGCCCTCGAGGGCGCGAAGTTATTCGCGCTTCGCGCTTCGCGGTCCTCGTTCCTCCGCCCCCTCCTCCTCGTCCTCCTTTTCTCCCTTTCGGGGAGCGGCGCGAGAGCGCGAAGTTATTCGCGCTTCGCGGAGCGCGAAGCGCGAAGCGCGAAGTTGGGAGCCCTAGCAACTCCGAGGCCAGCTCGTGACACGAACCTGCCGTGTCTCCGCTTCCCTTGGCATCGCTCGGACGTGTGCATATTTCCTTCGGCGAGGACCATCGAGGAGCATCCTTGATCAATTGGCGAAGAAACCACGCACGAAACTGAAAAAAAACACAGGGAATGGACGTCCGAGCGATGGCGAGTTCCCCGCCCCGTCCTTTCGCTCGAGGCTGCCCTCGGCTCGGTCGGCTCGGGTGCGTCGTGCTCGGTCGCTTTGCGGTTCGGTCGGTCGACGCGCCGCTGCTGCGCTGCTGCGCCGCTCCGGGATGCCTGCGCCCTGCTGGCCTCGGCCGGTGTCCGGCTGTGCTGTCGGCGAGGGCGGCGTTGTGATAGTCTTCAGTCGGGCCTGTCCCTCTACAGGAGGAATGTTCAGATATAGTTACAAATAGTCCGGGGATGATTGTTTCAAAACTTTTGAATATTTCCTGCGTTTTTTTTTTTTTTTTTTTTTTTTTTTTTTTTTTGAATATTTTTGATTTTTCGTCCAAAATCCGCCTGTAGGCGGAGAGGCCCGACCTAATGATAGTCGGACCGAGGTCAGTTCGGGGAGGGTACCCTACGGCGGATTTGCGTCGTGCCGACCGGCGGCGACCCCGCCGGCGTTCAGCGTGGAACGCCGCCGGCGACCCGGAATCGGTCGATGTTGAAGGATCCGACGTTTCGGAAACCGCCGATCGTCCAAGGTTGAACGATCCCCTCGGTGTCAGGAGCCAACGCCCGGGTCGTCACGACACGAACCTGCCGTAGTGTTATTCGCGTTTGTTGGATGCTCTTGTGCATCCAGGGGGAAGGCACCCTCGAGTGATCAGATGGTTCGGGTTTTGTTTTGGCCGGCGGAGGGTCTCATGCTCTTGAAGGATGCTCTTCTGGCCTGGGTCCGACTGCTCCCTCGCTCGTTTCCCATCCCGTTGCTCCAGCATCCAGGCTTGCATCATGCTCGCGCTGTCTCGATGTTGGTTTCCCCAGCTTGCTAGCTCAAAAAGGCGCCCCGAGCCACGGCGCTGCCGCTCCATCCCTATGGAGGGAGGGACCGTCTGGTCCTCCAGCCTCTTTCGGCGGCGAGCGAGGGGCGAAGTGACAGGAAGGCCCTCTCAGAAGGCGGCGGGACTTCTCAGAAGCACTCGCGCCTGCTGAGACGTTGTCTGTGTCTTCGGGGAAGGCTCAGAGCACTTCTCAGAAGGCCGGGGGACTTCTGAGCCTTCTGAGAAGTGCCTTCTCTTTCTCACTGCCCCCTGGGCTCGCCGCCGACCCTGCTCATCACCGTGGAGGAGCTCGTAAGCTCACCGAGCCTTGCTGGTGCCGAGTCTGGAAGAAAGGTGCGGAATGTGTGGCCGGTACGGGGGAGTTCCTGGAAGGACGGATGGGTCGGGCGAGTGAGTTAGTCGGGAGAACGTAAGATTCGAGTAAGCCAGAACTCGGGTTTGCCGACTTTTTTTACGAGCGCGTCCTGGATTTTGACGGTCCCGTTTTCGTGGGTTGTCTGCAGCGGGAGCCCGCGCCAAATATTTTCATGTTTATGATGGGCCACGCCAGGCCAACTCGAGTCCCCCGTACCTGAGTCTTACGTCTCCCCGAGTTAGGAGGAAACAGGGGCAGTCGGGGTGGGCGCGGCCAATCGCCAGCGGAACAAAAAGTGACATGAACATAAAAACTCGGAGGTCCGCGCGGATTTCTCGGATCGGCGCGGGGGCCCCCCGGCGGCGCCTCTGGCGCCGCCCCTGGCGCGCTCCGCGCGCCAGGGAGGGGTGTCCAGCGCCGATCCGAGAAATCCGCGCGGACCTCCGAGTTTTTATGTTTACGTCACTTTTTGTTCCCCTATGTGTGCGTTGCTCCGCTGCTCCATTTCTGTGTGGCCCTCCTGCCCTCATCGCCCCCGAAGCCATCGAACCTGGCTGGACCTCCTCCTGGGGGTGGCGTGATGGTCACGATGGGCCCGCAGGAGCCCCACGAGGCGAATAGCGTTGAGGGTCTCCTCGTCTTCCCCTCCTGTGTGGTCGGGAGGCTGCCTGACTGCACCGGAGCAGCCGGGGCGCGAGCGCGCGGAATCAACGGGGGTCTTCTTGTGGGAGCTCGGGTGCCTTCGTTTATGGATTTTGTTCCTGTGGTTCAGGGCTTCCAGGTGCTTTCGGAGGTATTCGTTCGGAAGTTTGGGGGTTCTTGCGGAGAACATTGGAGGTTCTTGGCGAGCTTTTGTTTTCTGAAGGTGTTCAGGGATTTCTGGTAGTATCTGGATGCTTCTGCAGGGAGAGTGGTGGTGGGCTGGGCCCGCTTATCCGACGACGGGGTAAGGGGAGGGGGAAGTCAGAGGAGGAGGACGAGGAGGAGCAGGAGGAGGTGGACGAGGAGGACCAGTGTAAACCCACGACGCGTCAACGATGTTGCAATAAACACTCTCTCCAAGTTCCCCCGCCATATGTTCCTACAATGATTTATTTCATTGCGGGGAGTGGCTCATTCGAAGACTTTCGTCTGCGAATTTTCAATCGTGTCAAAACTTGGTTCCTGGAACCTCAACGCTGCGGAGCAAGATGGCTCTTGCCTCCTGCCAGTCATAAATCGTACCAGGACGCCCCTGAGGACATCTTGCTTGCTCGTCTATTGCGGTGCATCTTGATCGGTGGCATCACCTCGCTCCCAGCTGGCGCCGTCGAGCGGTGGCAGCCAGGGCGGGGCGCCCTCCGCAGAGATGCTGAGGTGCGCGAGCGTCGCTATGCGACGGCGCGCAAGAGCGTGTGGACCGACTCCGCGACTCCCTGCCCGGCCACCTGGACTCTCCGGGCACCTCGAAAGGGATGTCCCAGGGAGATCCCGAGTACGTACACTGGGCGACCGTTTCGAGTTTGCTGCCAGGTGGGCCAGGGCCTGGGAGCGGCAACCAGAGTGCACCAGCAGCTTGCCCACGACGAGGCCGCTGCACGCGAGCAAGAAGTCTGGCACTCGTGGATCGACTGGGAGCAGGGATGCGAGAGTGAGCAATCTTTTATTATTTGTTTTTGCTTTCGGCGGAACGCCCCTCCCCCCCCCCTCCCCCCCCTCGTAGAGAAGTTCCGGGCTGATTTTGGCACCTGCTTCAATCGATCGGACCAGCGACGGCCTCGTGGAATCATGAATAGGTGATCCGGTCGCTCTGAGCGACCGCGATGATCAAGACACCCAGCATGACGGGGGGGAGGAGGAGGATGATGAAGAGGACCAGTGTGAGCCCAAGACCCACCAACGATGTTGCAATGAACCCTTCCTCCAAGCTCCCTCTTCATATGCCCCTATGGAGGTTCATTTTTATTGAATGAAGTACCCCGTTTACAAAACAGGCGCCTGAAAATCCGGAATTGTGCCAGAACGCCATTCCTGGGATTTCAACGCCGCGAATCACCGTTACGATTGCGTCTTGACGATCCCGGGTCCGTCCAGAACACCATTTGTGGCATTTCAACACCACGAATCAACGTGGCTGTTGCGCCGTGACAGTCTGACATCGCGCTACAACGCCATTTTCGGGACGTTAACCATGATAATCCTTGAAACTGTTGCGAACTCCGGATACGAAAATGCGCGGCGGCACGGCGAGGGCCGCGTTTTGGAAAGGAACCGCCGTCCATCCGTGAAGCCCTTTATGACGAAAATGCGCGGCGCTAAGGCGACAACCCCATTTTGAAAACGGCCCGCCCTCCATCCGTGAAGCTCTCACAAATTTTGAAGACGGATGTGCGCGGCGCTAAGGCGAGAGCCACAGTTTGAAGCCGGTTTGTTTCTAACCAGTGAAGCTTTTCACATTGCGCAGCGCTAAGACGAGAATCACATTTGGAAAGCGGCACGCCTTCCATTTGTGAAACTGTTAGAAAGCTTAAGCTGCAGGATCTTAAGTGGTGAGGAAGTCTCGGGCGAACCGCCCTGTCCGCCCTTCCGACTGGCCTCGGGGTGCGACAGGGGGGAGTTATTCATAGCGAAACGGAATTGAGAGGAGAGGGGAGGGGACGGCAAGGGTCCCCACTGGCCCCCTTCCAGGCCCCCCTCCCGTTGCCCCTCCTGCTCGCTCTCCCCCTCCCCCGTCTCTTATTCGCCCTCTCTTCCTGCCCTCTGCTTCCCTCCCCCTCCGCCCCCTTTTCTCTTCCCCTTCTTCCACCCCCCCTGTCCTCCTGCCTCCTCACCTCCTTCCTCTCCCCTTTTCCGCCTCCCCTCTCCTGCCTCCGAGGCGGACAAGCACATCCCCGACTGGAAGCCCAAGCATCTGTACAGCGGCAAACGCGGCATTGGCAAGTCGGCGCCCTAGCTGCGTGGTGCGAGGGTGGAGTCAGGAGGAGGAGGAGGAGGAGGAGGAGGAGGAGGAGGCACAAACTTAAGCTGTTGCGGGGGGCGAACCGATTCACATGCAAGGAAACGGGGGGAGCGACCCCAGCACGTTGGGGTCGTGGGCGGGGGCTTCGAAGGTCACGGGCCGCCGCCGACGCTGTCGCCGCGTTCGCGTCGGCATGCGGCCTGACCCAGCAGGGCCGCCTCCTCCCACGAGAGCCCGAAGCACTCCAAACTTCGCGCTCAGCATCCAGCCCCGAACAACCCTGGGAGCCTGGAGCAAGGGGGAGGCAGTGGGCGCCGTGGAGGGGGCCAGGGCCCTGGACCACTCACGACGGACGCTGAGCAAGGGGGGGGGCCATGTTTCGGTATCGTTTAACCGATCCCCATCTCCATCTCCATCCCCTTCGAGACCCCCACCAGATTACCACCCCAGTTGGGGATACACCCCTCGAAACCCGAAGGGAACGGCCTGTATCCCCATCTAGGGGTGTAAATCGGCCAGCGGGGCCCAGACCGCGCCGCTGGGGATGGGGATCGGTCAAACGATACGCAATGACTCGCACAACACGGCCGTCTCCGTACCTCGGGAATTCACCCTGCCAACACAATTCCACATGCTTCCGGTGGCCCCTGCTGGGCCTGCCATTGCAAGTCGTGTGGAGCCCACCCTGGGACGGCTTCTTGTGGCAGCCCCGAGCATAGGCACCACACGAGTCGGTGGGCCTTTGCTCTCGACCCTCACTGACTTCAGCCGACTACAGTCAACGCGCCCAGTAAGGGCTGTGTGCCTTCATCCAGGGTGCCCTTGCGTACTTGCCTCTGCGGCCCGTCCTTTGCCGTTTTCGCTGCTCGCCCGCCGCCCAAAAAATCCCGACTTCGGCCTCCAGGGTGCGTGCGTCCTGACCACCCGTCCTGCATACACGTTTTGATTGTAATTGCAGCCTGTGACCCTTGAAACTCCAAGCCTCCTTGAGTTCCCCACAGTCTTCAACAGGGGCCAGGCTCCAGAGAGGGCCCGTGGATGCCGGTAGGAGGCCAGCAGGCTCCAGTGACGGGGAGCCCAGGAATGGTTTCCAGGGGACCGTGGTGAGCCACTCAAGGCCGTCGTGATCAGACCACTGGCCGCTTCTGTTAAGTCGGGCGTGTCCCTCTACAGGAGGAATATTCAAAAATAGTAAAAAATAGTCAGGGGACCATTTTCTTCGACCTGTTTTGAATCTTTGTTCAAAGTATTTTTGATTTCTCGCCCAAAATCCGCCTGTAGGGGGACATGCCTGACCTCACTCTACTGTCGGACGAGGCTAGGACGAGGATAAGTCCGTTCCAGGGCGTGCCGGAACGCTTTGAGAAGGCCGCGTCGCCGGAGACATCCTCCAGAGCCGCCAGATCCCAGAAATTCTTGAACCATCCGTACCCGATGTTATCCTCTTCCTTGCTTCGTCTTACTCTTATCACCACCTGCTGGGGGGTCGCAAACCCAGCAGGCACGGGCAAGAGAGGCAAATCTTTCGATCGCCAACAATTGGACCTGCGCGGCACAGAGGGCTCGGCACCTAATTTGGCCAGGCGGTCAACGTGAGCATTACTTCGGAGCTGCTGATTGCGTGTTGAGGCCCTCCTGGACCGCCTTCTGGGACTGGTGTGCGTCGACTTTGACGAGACGAACATTCTCCAGAGCATCTGGAACCTCGGACCACGGATGACATCTGGTCTGGTTCTCATTGGCCGATGGTGGGAGGCGGCTTGCCACCGAGACATTGGCCTTACAATCAACATGAACCTCAACTCCTGCCTCGAGAACTGAATGGGGACCCAACTGCCTCACAGCGAAATCCTCGCCGTCCCTGGAGCTCTGGTCGGGGGCCTCGGACAACACCGTGGAGCCCATACAAGAGGTCTCCGTCGTGGTTCACCTCGCGTACTGACCCCCTGCAATTTGGAGCCCAGGGAAATTTACCTCGAAGCACGACACATCCGTGAAAACTGCCCAATCTTTCTTAACCGTGAAGGCACCATCGACGTGCCAGTTGACCGATTGGGCATCAACTGCTTTAGGATCTCGATAGGGGTCGTCCAAACCATGAGCTCGGTTGGGAAAAATACCCTCGCGCAAGCAACCCTCCTGATGCTTCAGACATCGCCAGGAATATGCTGGCGGATCTCCTAAGGTTTGGTCCAGGGTGATCTCTCCTCCATGCGTCGAAAGGTGGGCAGCATAATCTTAATGTACCTCTGGCTCCACAGCACAACCTGCAGGTCGGGTCGATGTCGACGGCGTGTAGTGGCATACGGGATTGAGTCCACTAGATGTTCGCCACCATTCCCTTCAACGCCTGCCTATGGTGCCCATTCCAAGTGTCCGACGAAGGCTGGCTGAGAAGAGACTTGATGGGCAGCCAGAGGATGGCACCTTTCCTGGCCTGGAAGTCGCTCTGTCTACCCTGCTCGTCCCTGACCGTGTGTCTCCTGACTCCCTCTCTGACCCGTCCAACAAAACTTGTGGAAGAGCCTCGTGATGGACCTGGTGCGCCCCAGATCATCAACCGAAGCTCTAGCTTGAACACCAAGCCTCCAGCCTATCCCTGCTAGGGTGGCCATAAGCGCTGCAATCGGCCAATGATTACGCGAACTCAATGCCTTCAGACCGTCCAGGAAGCCGACTTCGACCACCTCCCAGGATAACTGTCGAATCTGGGGGACGCTTGCAGAGTCCTTGACCGCTTAGGCCGATATGACCTCGAGGAAGTCCTTCCTGGCCAAGAGCGGGTCCAGCAGAAGCCGAAACCCTCGAACAGAACCTGGATGCCTGGATGGAGAGGGTCTGCAGCCTTGGCGGCCCCGACCCCGAGCTTCCTGGAGGGTCGTGCCCGCTACCCCGTTGATGGAGGAGCCCCATACCGCCTCGGCCCCGGGCCCTGTCCTGAAACGCCTTGACACGGCCGACCCCGTTCCCAGACGTGAGCTTGTCGGCCATCTCCACGACGTCGGAGGTCCCCTGGAGCACCGTGGGGAGCCTGCGATTCTTCTCGTTGCCAAAGTCCCCTCCTAGGTCGTCGCGATGCACATTGGCATGCTGCTGGAGGCGGATGTCCCAGTCGGGGTCGTTCAGGAGCTCCTTCAGGGCCTAGGGGTTGCAGGTCATGAGCCTGGTCATGCCCCAGTTGATGGGGAGCTGAACATTGGCCATGTGCTTGGCCACCTTGACGTGGGCCATGACGGAGTGCCTGACCGCGGTGGAGGGGCCGCCTACGCCATGCGACGTGAGGTCATCCATGAGGTTGATGCCGCGGCACGGGGGAATTGAGATGGCAATGTCTCTGAGCACGGCCATCATCACCAGTTTGGATTTCCCCGTCGCACAACTGTACCTTGCCACTATGGTCCCGTCGTCGTTCCGTTGTCAGGAAGAGGAGGAGGAAGAGGAGGAGGAGGAGGAGGAAGAGGAGGATGATGATGAGGATTAAAATGGGTATATGGAGGTTGGAGGTTGGATGGGAGGACGAGGCTGGGGGAGGAGGGGAACGGAAGGGGAGTGGGATGATGAGCATGAGGAGGAATATGAGGAGACACATAGGGAGGATGATAAGGATGATGACGAGTTGGAGGAGGAGGAGGAGGAGGAGGAAGAGAAGGAGGAGGAGGAGGAGGAGCAGTTGGAGGAGGAGGCGGAGAACGTTCTCTCCAGGGGGGCGGCGCGGCGGCGCGGAAGATGCGCGCTCTGCGCAGCGCGATCGCAAACATGGATTGAGGGGGCGTGGATTAGCGACGGGTCCCGTTTTCGTTAGACATCGTGGATTTCAATCCGCCGAACGAGGCGGCCCCGGGCGCATTCTGGGGAGGGCACCTTCCCCGATCTATGGATTTGGCGACCGCGCGCCAAATCCATGGATCGCCAATCCATGTTTGCGGGCCCCCGATTTGCACAGCGCGAAGCGGCGTGAAGATGGATGGCCCACGGCCTGGTGTGCGGGAAGGTCCGTATCGCGTCGACGCGGTGGCCACCCGCCGCGGGCGTTCAAGGTTGACCGCGGCCAGTGGCCCAGAATCGGCCACGACGGAACGATACGGCGATATAGGAGCCGCCGATCGTTCAAGGTGCAGCGATCCACGCGGTGTCAGAAAGCAATGCTGGGGTAGAAAAGACACGAATCTGCCGTACCAGAACAGGATAGTAATGAGGACGATCTATGAGCATGATGACGTTGCACTGATCATCATGATGACGAGACGGCTGAGCGAGAGAGTGAGCAGCATTACGAAGAATTTGAGGAGACGGAAGGTGTCATTCTCGTCCTCGTCGTTGTCGTTGTCATGCTCGTATCCCTTTTGCCGCTCCTCTTCCTCCGGCTCCACACTCCTCCCTGTTCCCCACTTGTTCCCTACTCCCTCTCTTACTGCCCCTCCTTATCCCCCTTCATTCCCCCTCCATCTCCTGCTCCTCCCTCCTGCCCCTCCCTCTTCCCGAATCCTCGACCTCTTCCCTTCCGCCCCCCCCCTCCTGGCTCCTCGTCTTCTCTGCCCCCTCCCTCCCCGACCTTCCTGCCTCCTCGCCCTCCCTCCTCCCTCCTCGCCTTCCCCCTCCTACCTCGTCCTCGCCTTTGCTGTCGACGTCCTCACCATTGCTTTTGTCGTCGTCGTCGTCGGCGTCGTCGTTGTCGCCCTCTCCCCTGGAGCCAGGACAGACCGCCGATGAGAGCGCCTGGGCGCCCCCCAGCGCCGGACGGTCTAGCCGCCTCCGGCGCTGGCGCGCGCGCGCGGCCGCGCCCCTCTCCTCCAGGGTTGTCCAGAAGGAGGGCAGGTGCAGGGCGGAGGGGCAGGAGGAGGAGTCGGAGCCGGAGGAGGAGAATGCGGGAGGAGGAGGGGGGACGGCAGGGAGGAGGAGGAGGAGGAGAAAGAGGAGGAGGGAAGGGTAGGGGGGATGATGATGATGATGATGATGATGATGATGATGATGATGATGATGATGATGATGATGATGATGATGATGATGATGATGATGATGATGATGATGATGATGATGCTGATGATGATGATGATGATGATGATGATGATGATGATGATGATGATGCTGCTGCTGATGATGATGATGATGATGATGATGATGAATGATGATTGATGATGATGATGATGATGATGATGATGATGATGATGATGCTGATGATGATGATGATGATGATGATGATGATGATGATGGCGATGATGGTGATGTTGATGGTAATGATCGGACAGGCACATAACTACATTTTTGGGCGAGTAGATTAGCTTCTTGCGCGGATCTCCAAATTCCAAACTTACTTTTGCGACATCATCTTACGTATTGGTTCGCCCGCCATTCGAGGAGGCCGATCGCGCCTGTCGGATTTGCCGGGGCCTCGACGTCGCTTGCCAGTGTCAGTGTGGAATCAAGACTTTCGCCTCACGAGTGGATTGGAGGATGAGCGCAAGGTGAGTCTTTCAGCTGCGGGGGGGCGCGGGCGTTTCGGAAACGCTCAAGGGAAATGGAGGGCGGCAGGTAGAGGAAGAACGGGGGAGGGGGAGGGCAAAGCAACGGGCGGGCGGGAATGGGGAACATAGTGACCAGGCGAGGTGTTCTGATAGGGGGAGCGACGTGGGCGGAGGCCGCAGTTGGAATTCCGTCGGATAGCCCTGGGACGTTCAGACATCTCCACCCGGAGGCCGGCAGGGGGTTCAGCGGCCCTTGCCTTCCTGACTCTGCGGGCGGGGCGCGACGGCGCACCCGACCTGTGCCCCGCCCCTGTCGCTAGGTGCCAGTCTGTACGTGTTCGCCCCGCGCAAGACATCCAGCACGTTCAGAACTACACTTAGCCAGGCACTAGGTGTAGTTCTGTACGTGCTGGTTTCGCCGGAGACATCCTCGCAAAACGGAACACCCATATAATTACACCTAGCCAGCGGGGCGGGGCGCATGTCGGGTGCCGCCACCCGCGCTCCCAACGTGTACCGCGCCCCGGCCGCTAAGTGCCGTTCTGTACGTGTCTCTTTTTCGCGAAACATCGGCTGCCCGCGCTGCCCATCGCCGGGGCCCCGCCCCCTGGGCCGCTCCCCGCCGACATCCCACATCCCCTGGCTCAGCGAAACCAGCCGTATGCCTGGGGGCCTTGATTTCACGCAGCCCGCTTCCCTCCCCCGCCTGTGCCCCAGCAGCAAATCCGCGATCCGATCCCCCGCGCTTTCGAGTTCGTCTTCGTGCCGGATTCCTCGTCCGAGGGTGAAACGCTTGTTCGTGTTACGATTTGTCTTGCGGCTGCCGCCAAGCCTCGCCGCGAAATATGGCGATCGCTTCCACGCTTGGCGCGCAACGTCGTCGGCACGACCATCGCCTTCCACCGTAGGTCGTGAGGCGGTGTCCGTTCAACCAGACCGTCCGACGCGCCACATATAATTATGATTGCCACCCTGGTCCCCGCAACAATGTGCAGTTTTGCTGTATGTAATTGTAGATTTGTTCGAAATGATGATGATGATGGTGATGCCGATCATGATGCCGAGCATGATAAGGATGGGGATGAGGATGCGGATGAGGATAATATTGATACTGCTGATGGTGATGGTGTTGGTGATGGTGCTGATGACGATGCTCTTGATGATGTTCATGTCTATGACGGTGATGATGATGAAAATGACGATGGGCGCTGCCCATGCGCATGATGGTGCTGATTCTGATATTGACGATGCTGATGGTGCCATTGATGCTGATGGTGTTGATGATTATTGCGGCGATGATGAGAAGGATGCTGATGATGACAATGATGGTGATGATGACGATGGTGGTGGTGATGACGATAGTGGTGCTGGTGAAGGTAATGATGAGGATTGTGATGATGCTGTTGTTGATGTTGGCGGCGACGATAATGATGATGGTGATGACGATGATCGGGGTGATTGGAATGTTGGTTCTGATAATGCTGCTGCTGTTGATGATGACCATCATCATGATGCGATTGACGACGATGATGATGATGGTGTGCTTGATGATGCGGATGCTGCTGTTGATGATTTTTGTGATGCCGACGACGAAAATGACGATTCTGCTGATGAGGCCGGTTTCAATGATGATGCTGGTGACGATTTTGGTCATAATGATGATGGGGTTGGTTAAAATGAGGATGTGGATGGTGCAGACGATGATGCCAATGCTTGCGATGATTATGCGAATGATATTGACGATAATCACGATGTGGTTGATGATGGCGATGACAGTGACGATTATGAGTGGTGATGGTTATGATTGCGGTCATGATGGTGGTAATTCTGATTATGATGATGCTGATGATGACGATGATGGTGATATGGTGCTGATGACGATGTAGCTGATGGTACGAATGTTGAAGATGATGATCATGATGCGGATGCTGATGCTGATGCTGATGCTGCTGATGATGTTGATGCTGTTGGTGATATGGCAATGGCGTTGTTGATGAGGATGACGACACATACCACGACGTCGCCTGTGATGTTGGTGATGACGACCACGACGGATGCGACGACGACGGTGATGATACTTTTGCGTATGATGATGAGTGTTGTGATGGTGGTGATGATGACGATGATGCTGTTGCTGATGCTGATGTTGATGGTGATGGTCATGATGTTGATGATGACGACGGCAATGAGGAGGATGAGGACAAGGACGACGACGATGACGACGATGTTGGTGATGCTGGTTATCATGATGATGCGGATCATGATGCTGACCATGATGATATGACGGTATGATTATATGATGATGATGATGATGTGATGACGGTTATGGGTATGATGACGATGCTGACGATTATGCTCATGATGATGGTGGTGGTGGTGGTGGTGGTGATGCTGCGGCTGCTGCTGATTATGATGATGATGATGCTGACGAAGAGGAGGAGGAACAGGATGAGGAAGAGGAGGAGGAGGAGGAGGAGGAGGAGGTGCATGAGGAGGAGGAGGAGGATTCCGAGGAGAAGAGGAAGAGGAAGAGGAGGAGGATGAGGATGGGCGTGGAGGATGATGAGCAGGAGGCCGACGAGGAGGAGGAGGAAAAGGAGGAAGAGGAGGAGGAGGAGGAAATGGAGGAGGAGGAGGAGGAGGAGGAAGAGGAGGAGGCCGTGGAGAAGGAGAAGGAGGAGGAGGAGGAGGAAAAGCAAAATATGAGGAGGAGGAGGAGGAGGAGGAGGAGGAGGAGGAGGAGGAGGAGGAGGAGGAGGACGAGGACCGTAACGTGACATGGGGGAAGTGTTCTCTTGCTGCCGTGGACGGTGCCCGAGACGGCGCCCGAGCGCGGGTGGAGCGCGCCAGCGCGGCTCCTTTCCTGGGCCGGGACGCCCCCCCCCCTTTGAGGAGGGAGTGGGGGCGCCACGCCGCTGGCCTGGGCCCTCACAGAATAGGTCGCTCAATTTTTTTGACTTTGCCCTGGTTGGCCTTCCCCTTCGAGGCCTTGCCCTTGGGTGCGCCCCCTGCCCTGTATATCATTTCGTTATGCATCCTCTGGCGATGACGAGCGGGACCGCGGGGGGGGAGGGGGGGGAGAGGGTCGGCAACGTCACGATCAGCGCCGCCGCCGTCAGGGAATGTTAGGAATGGCCAGTTCCCGGACGAAGCTGGCGCGAATCGTGACGTTGGGGGGCCCCCAAACGAGGTGGTGACCACACCGTGTGATGAGTCGGTGGGGATTCGGGGTCACCGCACGGTTTTGGGACTCGGGCCGTTCTCCGAGGATGTCTCAGGCGACTGGAGCCCCCAGGGTCCCAAAACCGTGCGCTGACGGACCGTGCTGTGAGGTCTTGGGGGATTTCGAGGTCACCGCACGGTCTGTCAACGCACTGTTTCGGGACTCCAAAGACGTGACCAGGGGTGGGTGGGGTGGGTGGGGGCGGAGCTGCTGTGACGCGCTTGATCGCGCATCATCCACAGATCTTCTTGCTGGGGGCATCGCCGCCATGATGCAGGATGAGGCCTCGGCCCCGTACCTCGAGGAGCTCGGCGCGGCAGGGTGGCCTCCGGGTTCTCGGCTGCGCTGGGGCCGAGTGGCTCGAGTAGAGTGGTTCGGTACTTGTTTTGGGGACCTTCCTGGGGCACACCTTCGACTCACGTTCGACTCAGGTTCGATTCAAGTTCGACTCGGGTTCGACTCAGGTTCGACTCGAGTCGACGGATATTCGACAAAGCTCCGACGCACGAGAGGAGCGAGTGGCTCCAGGAAGGTCCCCAGAATGAGCATTTAAGACTGCGGGCCCATGCCAAGAAACACCCTGCTTGCCTCCAGGGTGCCCTTGGTTTCTTGGGTTTCGATAGTTTTGCTGTGGAGGGCGTGACGTTCTCACACCAAGGATCAAGGGACGTCCTGGGGTCTCAGCATTGGGTTTCTGGTGCGAGGTTTCTTGTGGATTGGTCTCCAGTGTGCCACATTCTCGAGCTTCTCAGCGCCGTCCAGGTTCTCCGCCAACATTTGGAGCGAGCCCATGGCCTCGGGCTGGTGTTCTCCCTTTCCGGTGATGTTCTTCACCTGGTTGATGCTGCTTTCTACCATGGCACCTTTCACCTGGTAATCTGTGCTGACCTCGTCAGCCACGTCGCGCTTATGTGGTCGTCCGCCGCGATCCCGCTGTCGATGGCGTCACGTGGCCAGTACTCTGCCTCGGCCCCGACATTTTTTTCTGGCCTGTGCTGCCCTCAACCGTGGGCCTCTTCCCCTCGTGAGCTCTGCCCTCGCCGAGCATTTCGCCCAGCATGCGGTTACTCGACAACGATCCCTCCGCCGTTGGTGCCGCTGGTCTGGGGTACGTTCTTG